TGGAGCACCTATTATGTGTCAGGCTGGAGAAATATACAGCAATGCACATAACAGACAAAAATCCCTACCCTCATGGCATTAACATTTCAATGAGGAGAAATAAGTAATAAATAAGTAAAAATAGTATATCCAGTTGTTATAAGGGGGACAGAGAAAAGTAAGTTGTGGGAGGGAAATAGAGAGAAAGGACTGTGATTTTAAATAGGACGGCTAGGGAAGGCCATGGCTGAGGGAAGTAAGGAAGCCAGCAGGGAGACCAGCTGGGGGAAGAAAATTTCAGATAGAAGGAACTGCAAATGCACACGCAAGAGATCTGTGTGAATAAAGGAGGAGGGGAGCTGTCCATAATCTGCTCTTCCAATTCTGAAACGCAAAAACCTCGAAAGATTCTAGTCACATTTATTCTCTGCCCTCTTTCACCTCCAGGTCTACGAACACGACCAGCCCTCTCCCCAGAATAGCATTCCAGTTCCTTTCTCTGCAGGAAGGGCCTCTGGGAAGCCCTGCCAGAGCCAGCTGTGCCTGCACCTTACAGCAGCATCTCCGGTCAGCTCCGCTATACTCCGCTGCTCCCAAGGGCCTGACCCCTAAGCAGACAAGTGTTATTGTTACTCTTCCATTAGTATTGTCGCTGCCCTTGGAGGGCTGGGGGCAGTGTATTAGGACTCCAACAACCTCTCCCTCAAACTTAGAACTTCTACCTGAAAGCTGAATGTTTCTATGTATCTGAAGAAAAGCTTTCTGAATTGTGCTGTCTGAAGAGTTCAAACTACTCATTTTCTATTTTTCATGGGGAAATAAACTGAATGAGGAAAAGAAATCCCAAGATGGGGAGAGGGGAGGAGAAGGGAGATGAATAAAAAGAAGTGGAGAGGTGAGGAAGGATAAAGAGCATAATTCAACTACAAAAGAAAAACATAAACAAGATTCATGGAGACTGACTTGATTGGCATTTCTCCTCCAGCAAGTGACTGTGAATGGGGGCAGGGGTACCTTTAGCCCTTTAACCCTTTCTTGTAGTAGTGTTTAGAAAGTGATGAGATTTTTTTTTAAATATTTAAGGTTTTTGAATGTTCCCAAACTCCCCTTCCAAATTAGAAAAGACTCTAATGGTTAAAAAATAGGCTTAAAAATTTTTTCAAAGTGAGCAGCTGTCTTATTGGCTTTCACCTGGAAAATTGCTTGAAATTGGCAGTGACTTTTTTCTTTTTTCTTTTTAAAGTAGCTACACAGGATAGGGATCAGCCACCTTGAAAACTTTGTGGTGACCGCCGGATACTCCAAAGTCAAGATTCTCTGCAGACAGGAAATGCCTTTGCCAGCTCCAAGGTCTCCTCCCCACAGTCCTCTCTATTGTCTGGAGAGATTTGTGTACATCTGACTGAGGAGGTTTCCCCGTCTGCCACTGGGAATCAAAAAGCTGCCTCAAATGAAGAGTCAGTGGGGGCTTTCTAGCTTTTCTGGTGAACACTTGGTGCTGACGGTGTGCCAGGTATTGGTACCTCCTCTCAGTTGAGTCGCCCACCTCTCTAAGGAACTGAGGTACTGAAATGAGACTGAGAACTCATGTTTCCCAAGGTCCACAACCAGCAAGAGAGGTGTAGGGAGACTGCTTTACTTTATTTCCAGCCCTGCTCTCATCCACAAAGGCGTCATTCCTGAGGTAGGGTTTCCCCACAGCCCCATCTGAAGGGGTAGCTCCTGTTCTGTTTTTTGGTGAGTGGGAGGAATCTCCAAAGTGCTTCTCATCTGAATTCAACAATACCAAAAAATGTATCAGGGGACAAAATTAGATTAGACAAGTACAGAGTCCAGCTGGAATATCATGAAAGCCAAAGGAATGAAAAGTAACTGTTACGATTATTTTTATTTACCCTAGTTGGGTAGCTCAGTGGGTTAGAGCGTCACCCCCATTGTGCCAAGGTTGTGCTAAGGTTGTGGGTTGGATCCACAGTCAAAGCACATATGAGAATTAACCAATGAATGTATAAGTAAGTGGAATAACAAATCAATGTTTCTCTCTCTCTCTAAAATCAATTTTTAAAAGTCTTTTTTAAAAAGTGCTATTTTAAAAAAGATTTTTTTTTTTTTACTACAAGATACCAAACTCCTAGCCTAAGATTTAGAAGCATATTAGGTGATTGCTTGGTTTTCCACATTCTGTCCCATGATGTCAGTAGTCACATAGATATCACCTCCAATCACAGATTTAAAGGATCATTATTAGATTTTAAAGAAAAATCAGAAAGGTGAGCTTTTGAGTTTGTGTCATCCTCTACAAGGCAGCAAAGCTGGAATGGAAATTTTGGTAAGTGCAGTCTGTCCCCAGCAAAATGCATTTGCCCCCAAGTCCAAATACATTTTCTTGAATCCCTGTCCTGTCCTCATTAACTAAAATGAATATTCACATCAATGAAACCACACTCACACACACAAAAAAAATAGGGTTGTCAGAAGTATTGAAAGAGAATACTTTCACTATCAGAGATGGTTTCCTCTTTTCCCACAAGATGTCTTATCAGCTTTCACCCTGAGAAAACCATAAAAACTAAGAAAAGGAAACCTTATACAATAGCTCTCTAAATAAAATACTACACAACAGGCTAGTCATCTCTAAAAATTATGTTGTTTAAAGAGTCAAAGTACATCATCTAACAAAATCAATATCCTATTAAGTTAGAAAGGGTTCTAAATATCAAAGACCAACGAACTGAATAACTTAAAATATAAGTACATGACCCAGGGGATTAATCACACACTGTCATGGTGAAATTAGGGCAATTCTTCCAATCATTAACGTTTTGCTTACAAAAATGTGCTTTTCTGTTTGTCTTTCTGCTAAATGATAACCATTTTCAAGTTGAATCTCCTGATAAAAAGAGTTAAAAACAAGACAGGAGTTGTGCTATAAAGGTCATACATGCTGCTTCAACATGAAATAGCCAAAAGACAAACAAATGAAAAATGCCTGGATTGTAGCAAGAATTTGTAAATATTCATTGGCAATCTGCAACAGGGCACTTTAGAAAACAGTTAATGCCAACCTGTGTCCTGAGAACACTGTACTTCCTTCCGTTAACACACTCTTCATTCTTAAGGACATGTTTAGATTCAGAATACGAGCAACTTGAAGAGAGTTAGGAATATCTTGAAATTGGAAAACCTGGTTTCAGGGATTGTCTACTTTAAAATAAGTTTTCACCCCTCAACTTTTCTGGTGTCCATTAACACATAAGCCTGTATTTTTCTGCTTGATAGTCATGATACAGTTATTCCCAAGAATAAACATTAACCAGAGGTTATCTCCAGGAGCAAAACACACACACACTGATTTCAGGATTGCTTTAATTCAATATTAGGCCCACAAGCCTCCCATTCTCTCAAACTCTGATACAGACAGTCCCATTTTCAAAGGAGACTGATTACGACCTTTGAAACACTGATGTAACCTGTCAGGCAGGGTCAGGGAGCTCGGAGGCTGTAGCTGATGGGAAAGAAGACCCTCCCACTGGATGTCTCCCTTGGGCTCCAACATTGAGCAGATAGGAAGAATAGGAAAAACAATAAAGAGCTTGAACTGAGTTGGGAATTTGGGGGCTGGAAGGGGCCATATAAATCAACTAAACCATGTTCATTCTACAGATGATAGAATGAGGCCAAGAACTAAAATTTCAACTCAAATCTGTAAGTTTCCAGGCCTATGCACACCTCTCTGCCTAAGAACCCAATACTAGTCTAAATTCACATGCTATTCCAAGGAGGCAGGATGTGACAACCCACTATGAGCAATGACTTTTTCATTCTGTCTTCACCTGAGGGCGCATGTCTGGGGAGCCACAGCACTGATCAGCCACTTTCACAGGACCTCTGCCCGGAGGCACCCAGCTCCACAACACCTGGGGGCCTCCGTGGAGGCACAGGTTAGAGGAGATTTCTGGGCGTCTCCCCTTACAGGTGTCATCATTTTACTGGCTGTCAGGGACCTGATGGCTCAGCTAAGCAAGCGGCTAGATGCAGAATAGCAACACCTGGGCCAGTCAGACACTTCAGCCCACCTCAGTCGCACATCCACCCTCAACACTTTCATTTTTCCTCATAACACCACTTTCTGACCTGCTCTCTCTGTCGACCATCAAACTCTGGCTCCCACCACCTTGGATTGGCCCAGCTTCCCTCTTCCTCCCTCTGCGCAAGTGAGGGAGGCGAGAGGGGGGAATTCCAGCCCGCTTAGGACAGTGGTTCTCAGAGCTTGGTCCCAGCAACTTTGAAACCACCTGAGCACTTGTTAGAAATGCAGATTCCCTGTCCCACTCGAGCCCTACCAAATCCGAAGCTCTGGGGCTCCGACTGGGGCTGGAGTTGGGGCTGTGGCCAGGGACTGGCCGGGCAAGGAGTTACAGCCAGCTCCGCAGGTGCATTTGAAGCTCCCTGAAGCGTGAGAACTGCTGTCTTAGCACGAACTACCTCCCGCTCCTCCCGCTCCTCCCGGCCAGGCCACCCGCCCCCCATCCCTGTAAGCAAACCCCCTAACCCCAGCTCCGCCGCCAGGGGATGACGCAGTGTTGACTCAAGCTGGTCAAGGACAGCGCCCGGGCCAGCCCAGCGGCCGATGTGAATCGATGGGACTCAAGCAGCCGTGTTTCCGCAGCTCTTCCCACCGCCGCCTGGCGCGCCAGGTCTCTCCTCCGACACGCTGGACTCCAGGTCTACGGGCGAGCGAGCCTTCCCCGCAGCCCCAGATGCACACACGCCCGGCGCATGGGAAACACCCAGGAGAAGGCCCAAACCTACCTTCCAGGTGCCCACCGCTGGCCGCTGCACCGAACCACGCTCGCGGGTGTTCCCGGCTGCAGGAGCCCCAACGAGACGCACCACCTGAGGCTCCAGCGCTGGTGGGTCGGTGCCCAGCACCACGCAGGCACCAAGAGGCAGGTATAAAAAGAGGTGTGGGTTTGTTCTAATCAAAGAACGAGAGGTCTGACAAAGTCAGTCGGCCCACCGACAGATTTATTTTATAGGCAGTTTACGCATTTAAAAAACAAAACACTATTTCAGCAACTTTTTTTACAATGAACAATTACATATATATACATTATAAACATTTTGATATAAAACACAATATCCACAATCTACTTACATTTAATTAACTTGCTATCTCCAGGTTAATTTTAGTCAGTTTCTCTGCTTGAATTGGGCAGCACTATCCTTAACACCTTAGTCAAACAGGTACTAAGTGATAGCACAAAAAACAAGCATTTTTAAAATTATCAATTATATCTAACACAAGGCACACACTCACCCTGGAGAGGAGCTCTTATCTGCTTTATGGATTTAAGGCAGCAGTATAAGAACATAATACAAAAGTAAAGAACATTTCCTTTTAAAATATTCCAGGACTGAAATGTGGGCTCCCTTTCAAAGGCATACCTCTGGATTTGGGGTACCTTTTGGTCTTCCATTAAGTGAATAAAGATTATAAAAGAGTTATCCAAGAAGAGCCTATTAAAATCTTTAAAGTTATAATTTAAAAATTTAACCAAAAAGTTCAAAATTACTTTTTATAAATAGAAAAAAAAAGTTTACTTTTTAAAAAAGGGGGTAAGTTTAATCAGTGAAAAATCTCCATATCGTACAACCTAAAATCAATATATAAACTATTCCTTAAGTCAAAATTAAGGTTTCAATGTGTTTGTTATTTAGCCAGTGCATCCAATATTTTAGGTTTCCAGAACAGCAGAAAATTGATTCCCTTTTTGATATAGTTTTCCAGGTGTATACAGACATTTTTCTGTTGCAAATATTACTTCCAGTCCAGTTTTCTGAATGTGCCAATGTCAATGGTCATCATCCAGCATTAAAGTAGCTTTTATCGCCCTCAATGTCCACTTCCTGATCAGAATCCTCTGAAATCTCTGATTCAAGGTCCTCCTGGGAGGCAGGGGAAGGCGAACACCGAGAGCTATCCAAAGCACCTTTATTCTGCTCACTGGGCAGGTCTTGCCTCTGATCACAGGGATCGTCCAAACTTTCCAGTTCTTCTTTTTTATTACTTTGAGGGTTCTCCTTAATGAAGAGGATGAAAATGGATATTGCTAAGATCATGAAATACGGAGGAGGAGGTGAGACCTAAATCAAAATGTCTTTTCACCCTCTACCATCCCTTTAAGTTTATCAATTGCTTTTAGCTATGATCTTTACATATATAATACATACTTTTTTCCCCTCCCTTTGGAAGAAAGTTCTTTTCATATCAGAGAAAGATTATACACTTGCCAAATAAGAACAACCAATTACAAATATAACTCTAATGTATTATGTCAAATGAACACTAATTTCAGCCCAAACCCAGGATATCAAGATTCTTAAGAGATTAGGAAGAAAAAGAAATCAGATCACTGAAGATACACATTATCATCATTCTTCAAATAGTGAGACCTTGCCAATTGAGTCTTCTAGACGTTATTTTAAATGGATGCTAAATAGTGATTAAGGATAAAGTTTCAAAATTGTTAGATTGAATCCTTGTCATCCATTTTCTGAAGTATGTTCACAAACATGCACACATACATATGTGTAACAGATTACAAAAGCACAGCAAATACATAAATGCAGAACTGGAAGAATGTTGCCAACTAGAAAGAGAAACAATTACAACTTACTTAAAATCTGGGGGAAATTTCTGGAAAATATTCTCTTATTACATAGGTATCTCTGTTTTTAAAGTCCCTGGTAAACTGCTGCCACACTTTTGACCAAGAAATAAATGTTAGTGAATTTTTAATCCTGTGTTTGTCTAAAATTGACATAAACACTACTTAGAAACATTATAAGGATTTTTTTAAGCAAGACTATAGAACAGATTCACCAGGCTTGCAACTATGTAGCAAATATATGTATAAGGGTCAGAAATTGAGAGGGAACCTGAACATTTGTAATCATGTCAGAATAATAAAGTTATGAGAATTTTATTTCCTGCTTCAAAGTGTTCTTTGTGACATTATCTCATTTTTAATGAAACGTTTTATGATCACTATATTTTAAAAAAGCACACTGCTTTCAATTTCCCCCTTTGTATTATTGTTTCAAAACTATCTTATTTACTAGAAACGATGCATACACAGGCAAATGAACAATTCATCAATTGTCAGATCACTTTGTAGAAGACATTCAGATTAGGACATCAAAAACAAATCCTTAGCCTTATGTTAATAGAGCCCCTTTAAAAACTGAATTAGCCTTTACTTTTGATCACCTATTGCATAACAAGGTCATTGGAAGAAAGACTGTTAGCAAGTTTAAGCTACTTTTCAAACAGGCTTGGATAGTCTCTTACATGTTTTTATATTCATTTTATGAGCCGGCATTACATAGAAAATAATTTTTAAACTTTTTGATATTTAATTCTTCTGAAAAACAGTGCAAACAAGACTTAAAGGTGTTTATTTCCTTATATTTACCCTTGAGCTCTGCCTGGTTTTATTATGGCTGTGTAAATAAAAGAAACAATTTTCTCCCAAAGATAACTGCTTAAGTCATTTACTGTCAATTACTTTATCTTTCCTGCGTTAATTAGATAAACAACATATGGGGTTTATAAAACAATTAGCCAGGAGTTTTACTAGCTGGTGTGTGAAAACCCAAGCATAATTGATATAGGAACTGCATTAGGTGCTTTTAGCATTACTGCCACCTGAGCAACTCATCCTGACTTTCAGCAAGACTATTTGCCTTTTTAATCAAGGTGAAGAGGTTAAATAGTCTCTCAAATGACTTTTGCATACAACCTATAACTGGCCTTGCTTTGAGATAACCTGATAAAAATATTTATTTCCATAGAAACAGAACCATGTCCATACCTGTTTTAGTCTTCGCCATTTAGCACGTCGATTCTGAAACCAGGTTTTGACCTACAGAAAAAAGAAAGAAAACTTGCCACCAGTCCAGAACCCTGAAGGACCTGGTGGGGAGGAAGCAGGTACCGGGTTGTAGAGCAGACCAGTGCATCAGAAGTTGGATAACAAGGCACAACAAGCAAGAGCGCACAGCGGCTCCAAGCCTCTCTTCCGCCCTGCAATGCCTGCCCCAGGAGCCTGTCCCAAGCCCCAGGCTCGCTCACCTGTCTCTCGCTAAGTTGCAACATCTTGGCCAGACGTTTCCTCTCAGGCGGGGAGAGGTATTTCTGGGTCTCAAACTTCTTCTCCAGCTCGATAGTCTGGTCGTTGGAAAACCTCACTTGGCCTCCTTTCCTTTTATGCAGGGGCCTCTGCAGGAAAGGGCTCCAGAGCAGCGGTTTGCCTGTGGGCAGCAAGAATGGTGTGGGGTGATTAGTGATGGCCCTGGAGCAGCCTGGCGACCCCAGACCTACCCAGCCCTGGGAGTGACAAAGCGGGTAAGGGGACTCTGGAGTACACCCAAGCAGATACATTCATATACGCTCACTAACCCATGGACTCAACAAACTGCCACCAATATTCACACATACCCAGAGACAGAGAAACAGCCAAGGTCACACACCTACACTGTATATGCACAGAGGCCACCTTGGACAATCACAGAAACATACATACAACCATCACACCTAGATACCAACATCACACCTAGATACCAACAAACAAATCCTTTGATCCCCAAAAGAACACCCATTATAGATTAAGCTTAAAATACCATGACCCTCTTTAACCAGTAGCTCTCAAATTTATCTACAACTTTTTGCATCCCTAGGTCTTCTCCCTTAGTGAACCGCACTTTCCAAATACCCTGTGTCTGTTGGGGAGGAGCGAGGCCGTTGCACTTATCAAAGGCGTTTGTGGCCAGCGGCCGATGGCGCGAGCCTAACCAGGGGACCACGGGCCAGGCTGCGCGGGAAGCCCTTGAGCCTGGCGCCCGCCTTAGGCTGAGCGCGGAGCTTCCAATCCTGGATTTAGGGCGCAGCGGCCTCCTCTGATTTCACACCCGGCCCGCGGGGGCGGCCAGTTAGCCACCCCGTGGGCTATGGCAACATTTCCGTCAATGTGTTTCCTGTTGGTCTATCTCGAAAAACCCTTTGCTTCCTCCTGCGCAGTCCCAGCAGTAACCCAAGGAAACCCAGGGCGCGCTGGGTGAAAACGTTCAACTTCAGGCCGGGCTGGCTGAGCGTTCCGCTCCGGCTCCAGCAGGAGGATAAAAGAGCCACTCCGGGCCGCAGCACCAAACCCTCGAGGCTGGAATCAACTATGTAATAACTTTTTTAAAAAGAGAACTAAAATATAATCCTCCACCCCCATCTCTCCAACAATTAAGAAAGTGAGGAACTAAGCTAGAGGCCGTACCACTGTAATGACATTAAATGTTAATTAATTAAAATGGTAGATACCTGCAGGGTCTCTGCAGACGCTGCCAATAACAAAGAGTAGATTTAAAACCCTGACGGCCCAAGGCAACGAGCCCCGTCTCCTTATTTACCCCGGGGCTTCAGATGCCAGAGGCGTCAAGGGCCACCTGGAGCGCGGATCACGGGTGCCTTAAGTCTGAGGCCGCGCACTGAGAAGACAAGCCCCGCCAACTCTATATGCCCACGGTGCCTGCGCCACCCCTCCTACTCCAAAGACGTGTCCGACAGTCCATCTGTCCATCGGTCTGTAGGCCTGCTCCTCGACACTTTGAAAGTTGGCACTTTTTTTTTTTTTTTCGAGATTTTGCTTACGTCAGGCTTCAGACTGGTGCAAAACAGCCTCAAAAAAAAAAAAAAAAAAAAGGAAGCAACTGGTTATTTTAGCTGCCATAAAGTCACATCCCACACAGAGGAAATGAACAATATCAGAAAAACGGATCCCGGCTATCAGAAGTCGAGTGTTTCCTGAATTTGTCTGTATTGAGGATGTCGATAAAATAATCAGCAGCGTGCACTACTCCGGGGGAAGGGTCTGCTTCACGCAGCCAGGAAAACACTTAACAGCTTCTGAAACCAGATTTACTCCTATCGAGAATTCAAGATTTCCTGTATGAACGGAAAGGGTCAGGCTCTTTCACTGCACAAGCTTGTTGAACCAGGTCCAGCCCCGTAACCACCCCGGCCCGGCAAATATCCCTGCCCGGCAGGGGCAGACCCGAGCGCCTTGGCACTCCCCTCCCCGTCCCTCCAGCTAAGGGGACCCCACCCAAGACGACACGCGCGCCCCAAAACTGCCTTCACTCGCCAGCCCGGCGGCAGCGTCCGAGGTCTCGCCGCGGCCCGCGCGCCCCGACGCCTGCAAGGTTCAGGAAAACCAATCTGAGTCATGGTGCGGTCATTCGGGCCGCGCGCCTCCGGTGCCCGCGTCTCCTGGCCTCGCGCGCGCACAAGAGCCGCTTTTCAATCGCTTTTGCCACAACTTTCTATTGCCTACCCCTCCGCCCCCGCCGCCTCTTGGGCGCAGCCACCTGCCGGGTGGCGCCTTCCTCGCCGCCGCCTCCGCTCGGCCCCGCCATGACCCCAGCCGCCTTACCCAGGGGGTCGTGGCGGAGTAAGGCGTGCGTGTAGTCGTTCACCGTCCGCGGAAAAGGGTACAGAGGGCCCCCGAAACCGCCGGGTCCGTAGGCGGCGGCCAGCGCGGCAGCGGAGTGGTGTGAGAAGGCGGGGTGGATCGGCGTGGGCTCGTACACCGGGGTCCGGTAGGAGGACACGAGGCTCGTGAAGGAGGAGTTGGGGGACGGCAGCGTGGGAGTGGGAGTGGGCGCGGCGGGCCCGCGGCCCAGGATGTCCTCGATGTAGAACGGCGTCGGGTGCGCGGGCTGCAGCAGCGGCGTGGGCGCGTACAGCGGCACCCCCACGGCGCCCGCAGCTGCCTGCCCCGGGTGCGGGTACTGCATGGTTCCGCTATGCTCCGGACCCTCGGAGAGCTGCCGGCCCGCGCCGCGGCGCTACATTTATCCGCGCTCCGCACTCCCGGCGATAGGCTCTGCTGGCCGCGGGGTGGGGCCGCGCTCTCTGGCCCCTTCCTGCTGCCGGGCCCTGCGGCCAATAGCGCGGAGCCCCGGGAGCCACCTCCCTCCCCCAACCTTGGCCCGCCCCCGCGGGCCGAGCTCCCCGCCCCCGGGACTCGCTGGCTCCCGGGCTCCGAGGATCCTGCGCCCCGGTTCCCAGCCGTCGTTCCTCAAAGTGCCGGCACCCTGGTCCGGGACGCCCTCGAAGAAAGCCCAAGACCGCATCCGTCACGGGAGACGAGAGGAAACAGCTTCCGGGAACGCGGACTCCAGCAGTCTTAGCCCAGCCGGGAGGCATTTTTGCCTAAACTCGCGGGCACTGATCCAGGCCCGAGCCCAGGGTGGCGGCATCCGGCCCCAGGCAAGGGGTAACTGGACGCGGGCCCGCCAAGGGTAGAGGCCACTGGCAGGGCCGTGCCTTCCCAGGCCTGATAGTAGCCTCTCTGGTCGGCCGCTCCCTGAAGTAGCGGTGGCACTGGCTATTGCCCGGGGCGTCTCCTGGGCTTTTAGCGGGAGAGTGCCCTGGGGTTCAGGGGCAGCTCCAAGGAGAGGGATCTACGCCCCTTAGCTGCGTCTCTCTGAAGTAAGGACGGCTAGACTTCAGGTGCTCAGGACTCATGACCACTCCAGCCCGTTTCATTTTGTGGGTCCCCGGACTCAGCCACTCTCCTGGGACTCTGGCAGAAACCCCTTGGGGCAGGAATCAAGCCTGAGTCCTGTGGCTCCAAGCAGAAACTGTGCATTCTCCGACCCAATGGGGGCTGCTCCCTGTCCCCTCTCCCAGGGTCCTAGGGGTCGCAGCTGCGTGCAGGCCCGCTTTTCCGTTTTGCACGTGTTTTCTATTGAAGCTGTGACGCTCCCCGGTGTGGCCTCGGCTCTATACAACTCCACTCGCCTTTGGGGCAAGGGGGCATTTTCTTGATTGACGCCCTCCTGCGGTCGTCACACCTCGCGGTGAGCAGTTTCAGCTAAGGTCCTCCGTTAATCCTAGAAATGAAAAGACTTCCCAGCTTTTTCTATTGAGATTTTTTTTTTTAAATTTATTTACATCTTGGAACTATTTCTCCAACTGCAGTGGGACCACTGTAGGAAGAAGTATGGACTGGACGCCAGATAGACCGAAATCGAGTGTCACTCCGCATATTTTTGTTGAATTACTGTGTGCCCACAGTGAACAAGACATATGTAGTTCCTGTCCTCATCGAGGCAGGAAACAAATTTTAATACAGTGATTTGTGTATGTGCCACAAAGAAGAAGTACAGAATGATCTAAATAAAACCTTGTAACAAGGGGGCATCAGCTAGTTGGGGAAGGGAGCATGTTAAGGAGGAGAAAGGGATCCCCCAGGAAGTGATGTTTGAAGAATGAGCCTGAAGAGGGACAAATAGTCCAAGTCCAGGGAATAACATGTGAGTGTTGCCAGTGCAACCTTGGCGGTCACCCTCCCTGAGCTTTTCTCATCTGAAACATTTAAAACTTAGCCTAAAAGTTCTTAATCTTTTTGGGGTAGGGTCATAAACATCTTTCAGAATCTGAGGACAGACAAGAGCTACAGGTATAAATAAACACATAGTACATAATACGCTATCATTGAAGTTAAAACATTAGAAGAGAGAGCCCTGGCTAGAGTGGCTCAGTGGGTTCAGTGCCTGCCTGTGAACCAAAAGATCGCTGGTTCGATTCCCAGTGAGGCCACGTACCTGGGTTGCCAGCCCGGTCCCCAGCAGCTGGGGGCGTGCGATAGACAACTGATCAATGTACCTCTCCTATGTCAATGTTTCTCTCCTCTTTCTCTCTCCCTCCCGCTCTCTCTTAAAAATATATAAAATCTTAAAAATTAGGAGAGGGCATAATGAATATGCCTTTGCTCTATTATACAAACTATCTCTGGAAGGATATACTAATATCTCTTTGAGAGATATTAGTTGGAGAGAGAATGTACTGTATACTTCATGAGTATTTGGAGAATTGAACGATGAGGATGTGTGATCAGGTCCTTGAAGAAGTGGCTGATTCAAAGTCTGGGGAAAGAAAAGTACAAGGTGTGTTGGTGGCATCTTGTGCCAAAAAACAGACAGAAAGTAGGAGCCACCTTAAAGGATCTTCCATTGGCCAAATTTTGAGTGAGTGAAGCATCAAAAATACATTATGGATTATAACACATTGACCGTAACAGTTCATAGTATTTGTGAAGGGATGGTGGATGGTAAAGCTGAAAGAATGCCAGCTAACAAATGTAGAAAGATTGAAAAAAATCAGAAAATGTAATAATTCATTTAAGAAAGAATATTCATTGATCACCAAAGCCATTGAGTGAAACATTGTTGAGGATGAGGATTTTCACAAGGTTTCATTGCATCACCCCATTGGGTTCTGGATTTAAAAGAAAAAAAAAACCACAAAAGACATTTTGGGAGATAATAGGCAAAAACTGAACATGAATTGTATGTTAGATGACAATATTAAATTAATATTCATTGTGTTAGTAGTGATATTGGTATTGTGGGTAAATGTTTTTATTTTTTTAAGATTTATTTTTAGAGAGAGAGAGAAAGGGAGGGAGAAAGAAAGGGACAGAAGCATGAGTGTGAGAGAGAAGCATCAGTTGGTTGCCTCTCACTCGCACCCCGACCAGGGACCAAACCTGCTTTGCAGGGTGATGCCCAACCAACTTAGCCACATACCACTCAGGGCTGTTTTTATTCTTGAGAGGTGCAGGCAAACTATGGGTGAAAGATTATGATGTCTGCAATCTGCAACTTACTTTCAAATAGTCCAATATGCACGCATTAAAATGCACACAGGTATGTGTCTCTAAAGAGGCAAATAATGTTAAAAGTCAAATCACTGTCCCATTTTTTTAAGGTAAAAATTATTTGAATTATTTGTTAAGTCTGCATACAAGTTCAGATGGTGTATTGCCCCTGGGAACTATCTGTAGAGGGCTCTTTGTGGGTCATTTGTACCTCAGCGGTCTGATCTGATTTTGCACCCACTTTGCCAGTCATAATTCTCATCACATGGCCTGACGGAGAATTCGGGCAGGTGCTGGGAGACTATGAAAGGACATGCACTTTTGTGCACCAGGGACAGACACAGGCTCTGGGGGCAAAGAAAGAACAGTTATTATCTGAAGCTAAAAGGTGGCTTCAAAAGTCATGTTTGGGTCTTCAATGACTTGGACCTCAGTGGACTAAGCAGATAACCGTGATCATTATTTTCTCCCTCCTCTTTGTTTTTCTGCCGCTTCCACCTAGCAAGTAATTGAGATGATCACAACAATTCATTTAATGCTTTCACTAGTTAGTCTTCATTCTCCATCTTCAAAAATAGTATGGGTTTATAATCTGTTCTATGCATGACTCAGCCACCAAAAAGATATAACTCTACAAAGGTTTCAAAAATAAATATCAAAGGCCAGGGAAATAATCACTAATATAGGAAAAGGAAGCATCATCCCTTTCTTTTTATTTAGCCATAGACCCTGTGAAGTAGATGGAGATCTTAAAAAGCATTGGTATAACATTCCAACTCGGCTACATAATCCTCACCAGCAAATTGAAGCACTTAATTCTTTTAAGCTATATAACACTACCTCTTCTAAATCCAATCGTCAGATCCGTGTTCATTTTGCGATAGTTAAAAAAAAATTACAACCACATTTGTGAATGTCACATTTATTGAACTACATAATTTTTAATATCACTTGTGTAGGTTTTATAGTTTGTTTTATTGTTTTAAAAGTCATTTGGGGCTCTAAAAGAACAAGATTTTTCCAAAGTTGTCCTTATAATTTTTTTTCACACAGTCAGAACTAATAAAACAAAACTGTTGTAGCTATTTAATTCAAAATCTCTTGGAGTTTCAATATTTTTTCTCTGCTGGATACTAAAACCAATAAAGCTACATGAGATTTTAATTATATTCTGAATTAAACAAGACTCTCTCCAAAAATTTGGCACCATTTATTTTAGTCACTGCTATTGTGCAAGAGACCAAACTTTGTAAGAAGAGAAGGTGGTTCTCACCTCTAATGTATCTACTAGAGACTTAGGTAAATTTGGTGCAATTTATTTTCAAGAATTAAATATACATAGAGGAAAAACGTCAGATTAGTGATCATTTGAAAGCATCAATGGATTGTACCATAACAACTGGTTCTGTTTTGACTTACACTAAAAAGTTTATTGTCTTCAGCTGTTGAAATGACTAAATCACTTATTTAATCACATATCAAATCATTGTGTTATATTTTATTTAAAATTTGACAAGATGTAATTAATTAGAGGTTTAGGCTCTACTAACTTAACGAAATGCTAATATGAGCAAATAAAAATATCTCATTCATGTCATGAAGGGGATCAGAGCTCTGGACCACACAGGCAGTTGTCACCACGATGTCACTTCAGTGATGTCCACATTGTACACACCACAGCATGCCTTACGTAGCACCATAATGTGGGTGAAGTTGAATGACCATGGAGCCCTAGATACAGTTTCATGATAGTTATTTGCTCAATTTTCAAAGTGATGAAGGGCTCAATAATAAAAAGAGAACCCAAGTTTTTAACTGGGCAGAAGCTCTGAATAGATGCTTCTCCAAAGAAGATATACAAATGACTAACAAGCACATGAAAAAGATGTTCAACATCATTAGCCATCAGAGAAATGCAAATCAAAACCACAATAAGGTACCACTTCATACCCATTAGGATACCTATAATAATTTAAAACAGAAAATGACAAATGTTGGTAAGGATGTGGAAATTTAGAACTCTCATACATTGCCCATGGCAATGTAAAATGAAGCAGTTGCTTTGGAAAACAATCCAGCAGTTCCTGAGAGGTTAAACACAGAATTACCATATGACCCAGCAATTCTACTCACAGGTGTATACCCAAGAAATTAAAATATATGTCCACACAAAGACTTGTACATGAA